CAATGTTATATGCCCCGGTTATGCACAGTATATATGTGACTGTACGAGATGAAATGAAAATAAAACATATTTACACTCGGAAGGATGGAAGGCTGAGTCAACCCTGAGCCGGTGAGATTTGAACCGCTGACCTGCTGATCTAGCAGTAGCCTGCAGTGCTGCATTTAACCACTGCGTCACCTTAGATTCCTGTCAATTATTAGATAGGTCAATCACATATATTGACTGGTTTTATTGGTTCATTTAACAAGACAGAATGTATTTTAAGCTAGAATGATCTTGCCTTACAATACTCAGGAATTCCCCCAATTCTTTGCCAGGCATTACATGTAATTGAGGCTCATTAGTTTCCCATGTGTATTCATCTATATTTAGTTTTGCATTTGTACTATAATTCAACATACATTACTGTATGCATTGCAGTATAATACTTTTCTAATTCTATTGTTTTATTGCAGTAAAGTGCTGTGGGACTTTTAAGGAAATGAATATGTTTTAATAAGGGAATATAAATAATGCTATGCAATTTTTCCCATTTGCTAAACACCTTTTGGTTATTTTCATTCAACTTGGAACCAGCTGTGTTGTGCACCTTATTGAAGATAATTTTAGGCAAATCATCACTTTATTATGGTGCTATTTGCCTACTCTAAAATAAAGCAAATTTATCATGTTAAAAATGGGGGATGGTGTTCTAATATACTACGTTTTTTTATTGAATGTATATGTATACATATTATGTTTCCAATGACAATCACTATGTGGGTGTTTCATGGCTGGAGGTCTTTGAGAAGAGACTGGAAAGCCTCCTGTCTGAAATGGTAGAAGGTCTCAGGCTTGAGGAAGGGGTTGGACTGGAAGACCACCAAGGTCTCTTCTAGCTCTATTCTAATTGAGTGACTAGGAGACTGAGTTCTAGTGCCACCTTAGAGGGACTCACAAGAGAAGATCTTGTTGTAGATCAAATATAGAGCAATACATAATAATACAACATTTCTAGATAGTATGTTTGTACTTCCACTTTACAAGGAAGATGAAAAGGCTAGGGAACACTCCCAGTGCTTAACTGTGCAGGCATGACTCCTGTGACTTGGCACTGTTGACACACAAGAGGGAGCTAGTAGTAAACTTGGGAGAATCCCAATTTATGTAGAAATAGAAAATATACTTAGAGAGAAAGGTTAATACAGTGTGTTTCTCCCAAGCAGACCAATTAGAATGCAGAACACTCATGCGTGTGGAATGCTGGCTGCTTGCGAGGGAGGGGGTTATGAAGAAAAGGAAGGGGGAGTAGAAATAGAATGATTTTGGGGGGAAGAAGTTGTCACTCTACTAAGCTTGGTGATCAGGAGTATCAAACTCTGCAGCAGTCTGTTGCAGTTTTCACTGATGAATGTTACCCAGCACTAAGTCTGAGGGCTACAAAGGGATTTGGAAAAGCTTTGAATCTCAAAGAGAGAAATGACCACCATGAGGTACCCTGTTTTCCCCAAAATAAGACCTCCCTGGATAATAAGCCCAATCGGGCTTTTGAGCGCATGTGCTAAAATAAGCCCATCCCCAAAAATAAGCCCTTCCTGAAAATATTGCAACACAGCAGCCGCCATGAGGTGACCATGCTCATTGCCTCCTGCACCTCAAAAATAATAAAACCTCCCCCAAAATAAGGCCAAGCATTTATTTCAGGTGTCAAAAGAAAATAATACCCTGTCTTATTTTTGGGGAAACATGGTAGGTGTTTGCAAAGATCTACAGATGGATAGTTGATTTCAAGCTTAGGTCTATGATGATTCATTTGGTCAGTGACATCAAAT